ATCCATAATTTGTTACAGCCAGTTTTTCCTTAAGCCAGCTGACGTACTTCCACAAATAGAACATGCTCATTGTGGATAATTGAAAAATGCACGTAATTCCCATCATCTTTCCTGCTCACCTAAAGGAAGGAAAGCCGTATTGCCTTCAGTTTCATTATGCAGAGATAATTGATGTTTGAAACCAATTGTTTACTGTGTTGCTTTGAGAATCAGAACATTCTAGAAAATACGGAAAGTTGCAGAACTCCCAATAAATATGAAGTGTTTTACTGAATGAAAAGTACTTAATTTGAACCTTTTCATGGCCAAAATTTAGGGCCTTTATCATTTCATTTATTTTTTTTCAGTTTGTTTCCTTTTCTTGATTGTTATAGTTTCTTCTTCTCTGTGATGCACATGTATTACTCAGGTAATGGTTTATGTTTTAACATATAGCTATACATACTCGTTACATAAAATGTCTGAAAAATCGGAGAAACCTGTCGTCCCTTGCATGGAGGCCATGCCTTTAGTCTGGGGCTTTTGTTTTATTTTGATTTGTTTTCTTAAACACATTGAATTTTTACACAGGAAAAATTCTGTATCTTGGGAAACATTTTTTTTCTTTTAATTTAATTTTATTTTATTTGAGAACATACTGTACAGAGGGGTTACAATTACATGGGCAGGATAATGCATACATTTCTTACCAAGCATTGCAGCCTCCTCCTTTGTTTACCCTTCACCTCCCTTCCCAGCCTCCCCCCTCCCTCCCACCCAATCATACCCCCCCCCCCCCCCCCCCCCCGACATTGTAAAGCTGGTTTTGACATGACATTTTGTACTTCTCATTGTTGCAACAGGTCCACCTGAATCCTTAAACGACTTGTTTGTCCCCATCTCCTCCACATGTTATACTGACATCAAATATAGTGAAAGCGGGGGTTACACTGTGGGGGAGGGACATACAAAGCAACAAAGAGATAATATTATAAATGCGTTAGAAACACATGCATGAAAGAAACAAAAACATTAAAATACATATTTGAGGTTTCGTTTTCCTAACATCACATTATCTGACTTTTTCCGCTTGACTCATACCTATACTAGATATTGCAAATAAGGGAAACCATGGGACCTATGTTTCTTTGGGCCTGGCTTACTTCACTTAATATAATTTTTTCCAAGCCTTTCCATTTCCTAACAAATGGGGAAATGTCATTCTTTCTGATGGAGGCATAGAATTCCATTGTGTATATATACCACATCTTCTTGATCCATTCATCTACTGAGGGGCATCTTTTTGTCGGTCGTGGGGCTTGAACTCTGGGCCTGGGCGCTGTCCCTCAGCTCTTCAGCTCAAGGCGAGCGCTCTACCACTTGAGCTACAGCGCCACTTCCGGTTTTCTGGTGGTTTATTGGAGATAGGAGTCTCACGGTCTCTCCTGCCCGAGCTGGCTTTGAACCGCGATTCTCAGATCTCAGCCTCCTGAGTAGCTAGGATTGTAGGCGTGAGCCATCAGCGCCCGGCTCTTGGGAAATATTTTTAAACTCATTGCTTGGGGTCTCAGTAAAGTTTGTTTAACTGAATTGTTATTACTTCTAAACTGAAAAATACTTTCATTGTATTTCTTCCTTTATCAGTTTATGTGGAAAATATGTAGCCACTTTAGCTTCACTTTTGTGAGTGACTTGGTCAGATCGTGCATCTATTATTCTCTTCTTGTCGTACTTTACAAAGCTTTGTCAGCCAATCATTTTGCTAGAGATTAGGCTGGTGGCTCATGTAGAAGACGTAATGTGTGTCATGTTGAAGACAGCTTGCGTTTGCCATTCTTGCCTCTGACGTGGGGCTGGGGCTGGGGGCCAGGAGAGCTGGTCAGCACTGCTCTGGTGCTCTCCATACTCTGGATCCTCACAAGCGAAGATCTTTGGTGCAGTGCAGTGTGGTCTAGAACAGTTAGCACGTGAGCTTCATGTCTCATGAAAAGTTGTCTAGCTGCCACTTTTTTTTTAATGTGTGCTGGTCTTAGGGCTTGAACTCAGGGCCTGAGCACTGTTGTTGAGCTTCTTTGATAAATGATAGCGCCCTGCTGTGTGAGCTAGAGCTATGTTCAGCTTTTTGGCAATTAATTGGAGTTAAGCCTCATGAGCTTTCCCTGCTTGGGCTGGCTTCGAACCACCGTTCTCATATCTTAGTCTCTTGAGTAGCTGGAGGTATGAGCCCCTGGTGCCCAACTCTAGCTGCCACTTTTTAAGATGTTAAAAGATAGAGATGAAATTTAATTTTTGAAGGATATTTAGTTAAAAGCATAAAAACATTTTTAGTTAACCTGTCATATCCAAAATATTATTTAACAGATAATATAAAAGCTAATGAGATACACTTTGGGTTTTTTGTATTGAGACTCTGTTTAGCACAGGGACTAGCTATATCTCCAGTGATCAGTAGCTTTGTGTGGCTGTTGGCTGCTGTCTTGAGCAATGTAGGCCAAGAAGGGATGAGACAGAGTCAGCCCTGTTCTGACATCACCCTGAAACACCCTGCACTCTGCACTGCATTGAGTTCCGTGGTGCCAGAGGCCCCACTGATGCCCGGGGGAAGAGGCTGTGATTCCCAAGTCTGAAGAGGAAGGGACACCCAAGGGGAACTTCCTTTTTTTCCCCTTTTAGTTGGTGCCAGTCCTGGGGCTTGAACTCAGGGCATAGGCATTGCCCTTGAGCTTTTTTTTGCTTAAAGCTAGTGCTCTACCATTTGAGCCACACCTCTACTTCCCACTTTTTGGTAGTTTATTGAGATAAGAGTCTCACAGACTTTCTTGCCTGGGCTGGCTTTGAGCCATGGTCCTCAGATCTTTTCCTCCTGAGTAGCTAGGATGACAGGTGTGAACCACCAGTGCCTGACTTTTCTTTTCAGAATAACACCCAGTAGTAGTGTATGATAACAACAGAGGCTGACAAAGCTTTCTTGACCTGAAGTATGATGCTTCAAGTGGGTATGCATCATTTCATTTAATTATCACAATTCTTAGATGGGTACTATTATGGCTACCACTCAGAGGTGAAGAAGAGGGTCTGGGAAGGTGGCTTAGTAGTAGAGTGCTTACCTCACATGCATGAGGCCCTGGGTTCGAATCCTCAGTATCACATAAGCAGAAAAAAACGGAAGTGGCGCTGTGGCTCAAGTGGTAGAGCACTCGCCTTGAGCTGAAGAGCTGAGGGACAGCGCCCAGGCCTAGAGTTCAGGCCCCACGACCTACCAAAAAAAAAAAAAAGGTGAAGAAGAGGTTAAAAGCTTACTCGTGATTACTTGGCTAAAGTAGCAGAGCTAGAATTCAACCACAGCGTGAAAGATATATCCCTTATATTAAGAAGTAGTGCTGTGTAGTTAAGACACCTTGGTGGGATGATGAGTGGGTTTGAAACTCACTTGTACATTGAGTGTGAGATCTTTGGTTTATTGTGTGAACCTTCTGAGCGTTGATGTGCATACTTACAGAGAATAAGGCTAGGTGTAGACTGTAGGGCTGGCGAGGCACAAGCATGCCATGAAATGTAGGACCCGGCGGACAGCAGAGACCTCCAATGAGTGCCAGCTACATGCTGGTGGGAAATGATCTAGTTTATAGTCCGGCATAACCACGTGGGCAGGTTTCTAGCCCCTAGGCTCTATCCTAGGGTCTCTTGAAACTTAAAAAGCTTCCCTTGAATTGAAACCCTTCCAGACAGCTACTTAAAGCTAATTAAGAAAGTAAAACAAAAAAGTTCTGTTGCCATCGTTTTAGAATATGTGGATCATACATACAGTGATAGCTCCTTAAATGTTAGAAGACAGGAGCAGAGCATCAACGAATGGCTGCCTTTCCTCTGCACTCTGTGTGAGCAATGAACAGCAAGAACTTGAGTCAGAATGCCTATATTGACTTTCCCTTATACACCGTGTGTCTATTTTAATCTGTCCCTGTGTCTTGCAGATGACTTCCTGGGCCTTGTTTTTCTTGTCCGAATAGATTTACTATGATAGATACCAAGTTTACAAAGATCAGAACAGGACACTGCATTAGGAGCCGATGCCATCCATGGTGGCTGGCACGGCACCAGGGCTCAGTGTTTGTCAGAGCACATGTTCACTTTGGCAGCACTTGCACTAAAAACACAGAGAGCTCTTCAGTCTGAACAGTGTTTACTGGGCTGCTCATGAATGCCTGGGCTGGATTCTGTCTTAGGGACCATGGAATACAATAGTTATCACAATGGTGACACAAGAGCTAGCATTTGGGAGAGCTTACTACATGCCAGTCTTCATGAAAGTTCCCTAGATCTTTCATAATTAATTATATGAGTGTGTGTGTGTGTGTGTGTGTGTGTGTGTGTGTGTGCATATGAGTATATATATTACTAGAAAACAGAAGCACACGCTGTCATAGGAGCTTGCTCTGTTCAATTTATTTCCTTTTTTTAAAAAAACAAACAGCTGGGCTTCTCAGTAGACAAACCCTCCACCACTTGAGCTGTGCCTCCAGTCTCTCTTAGTTCACAGTCTAGTAGAGAAATTTACAAGTACTTTCTCAATAGATTTTGTCTCCCATTCCTTTTTTTCCATTTTCTTTTCATCCTCACTCCTCGGAGGTGTTTATCCCAGAAGTGGGCGTAGTTACTACCCTTTGTGAGCAGGGCCTTGCCTGGATCCTCGCTCCCTGCCTAGTCCCGCTACAGCCCTGTCTTACGCTGCTGTTTGCTGGTGTTCTTTGTATTGGCTTGCCTTCCTGACCCTAGGCACTAGGTGTTTCCTCTCCTAGAATGCAAGCTTCTGGGAGCAGGACCTGGTCTGCCTTGTTCACAGTGTCCCCACCAGCCCACAGGGTGCTGATTCAGAGGGAAGTAAGCACAGGGAGTGTGTGACCAAACCTGAGCGTTGGGAAGGACACTGGCCTCTTGGCGTGCATGTGTTAGTGAGTTTCCTTCCTTCTCACACTGCTCCTCCTGGGGTCTGACTGCCTGTCTTGTCTTCTGTCCCTCAGCCGCCCGTGCCAGCTTCCCTTCCCTTCAACAGTGCAGCAGCACAGCCCCATGTCCTCCCAGACCTCCGTCAGCGGGCCACTGCACTCTGTCTCCTTGCCGCTTCCGCTGCCAATGGCCCTGGCTGCTCCCCAGGCCCCACCGGCCTCTCCCAGCCAGCAGCTTGGTCCTGATGCATTTGCAATTGTGGAGCGAGCCCAGCAGATGGTGGAGATCCTAACCGAGGAGAATCGCGTGCTTCACCAGGAGCTTCAGGGTTACTATGACAATGCCGACACGCTGCACAAGGTACGTGACTCCAGGGCAAGGGGCTGGGCTTCCTGGAAGGAATGGATTCGCCTCTTCGTGAGGTAAGGGGTTGATGAGGACTGACTTGCCAGTGTTTCTCGCGGCCCCTTTTTGTGCAGGAACTGTGTAAGGCTTTAGGGAGTCAAAAATAAGTATGACCTGGTACCCAAGGCCTGCGGTGCTAAAGCTTGTGTTCCCAAAGGGGAGTGAGTTAATACTGCCTGGGAGTATGCAGCGGCTTCGGTAGGGTCAGACTCTGGGGCTAAGTAGGGCTCCCCAGGCTCGGAAGAGGAAACAGCAACGTGGGAATGAGTGGAGAGTATTTCCCTCTAAATCTAGGAATCTTGGGAACCTTGTGATGGTCATGTTTGTTTCATTGAGTGATAACTAAAACAACGTTACCTGGACACTGGAGGGTTACAGGTACAGGTTATTGAGCTAGAGGGTTTGTCGTTTAAGTGGTAGACTTACTTAAGAAGTGTGAGAACCCTAGGTTCAAAACCTAGTGCCACAAAAAGAAAGGGGAAGGGAAAGAGGAAGCGGGGAAGGGTGCCGGTTACCGTGCTCCTTCCTTTCCTTGCCCCCTGTGAGGATGGAAGACACTGAGTCCCTGAAGCTCCTGCAGGTGTCACGGAGCTATCAAATCACATGGCAGCCTTTTATCCTTAGAACTTCCTGCTAAGAGCTGGAGTAAAGAAGAGACATATCCCCCTAGCAAGAGCAATGTCACCTGGGTCTGATGTGTGCAGGATACAGAAAGGTCTGTTTTCAATAAGAGAGCCACAGGACCCTGAGTTGCATTTCTAAGGGATGAGGATGTGTGGTGGTAGTGCTGGGTCTTAAGTGTCTGATCCTGTCCTGGAAATAGGGGCTTTTGTAAGGAGAGACAGTAGGAATGTCGCTCTCCATGGTTCCTTTGGCCTCATGTGAGAGGGTCCTGTCTGACCGTTCCGTGTGCATACTCACAGTGCTCTCACAGGTAAAGGCTCTCTTCATGAGGGTTGGGCACGCTCCGTTCTCAGTGGTCCAGGCTAGACTGTGGTGTTTTGGCCACATGCTCCCAGGTCTGACTCCGTCATTACTTAGTGGTACTTTCACAGGTAAGGTGGTCTTTTCACTGTCAGTAAAAAGCTGGTAGCAGTGTATTTGATGGCACAAACGTTCACAGATCTGCCAAAGCAGGTCTGGGCCAAGTTTTTACCGCAAGGCTGGAGTTCCCTGTAGTCAAGTCTGGTCTGGACTCCAGGGAGCTCTGGATGCCCTTATTGGAGGGCCAGAAACAAACAGGGCTGCCTGGAGGTTGTACCTGAGCCCTTAGAGGTTGACAAACATAGCATGTTACCTTTTGGCTCCAGCTTGTTTCTGACACCCTCCAGGACAGCTCTTCCTTTGTGTAGCCCAAGCATTAGGAAGACCCACTCAACACCTAAGGAACCAAGTATTTCTTCTCCCCTAAAGCATCTCAAGGGCAGACATTTCTGAGAGCTCTGTAGCCTCCCCTGCGGACCTTGTGGTGCGGCCTTTACATGGGTGGTACAGAGAGGTCTTGACTGTCTCATTATTATATACCTTACTACTGACCAGTAGCATGTATCTCTTCCCTGTGTTTGATGTACAATTCTCTGTGTCTCTGTTTCTGTCTGTCTCTTTGCCGCTCTCCCTATGCCAATACTTGGTCTTGAACTCAGGGCCTCACACCCTCACTTTTGGCTTCTTTTCTCCTGGTTGATGCTCTACCGCTTGAACCAGTCTAGCCAGAGCTCACCTCCAGTGTAGCATTTTTCAGGTTACTTGGTTAACTGGAGATGACTTTTCTGCATGGGCTGTCTTTGAGCCGCCGTCCTCCAGGTCTCAGCCCCTGATGGGCTAGGATTGCAGATGTGTGAACCACTGTTGCCTATCTGTACATTTGTCTTTTGAAAAATAAAATCTTCCAATGTATAATTTCTTTGCATAGAGGATGATCCTTAGACTTTGTGGCCAAAAGGGATGAAATGAGTGCTGAGAAAGAACACAAAAGTTGTTCTGCTTCTTGAATCTACAGCTGTTTCACTCCCTTGACTATTGTAGATGCGTCTGTGAGTACTGTGCTCTGTTGTCCCATCACAGTTAAGACAGTTGTCAATTTGCAGCCCTAAATCTTTGTTGTACGCATCTCTAGCAAGGAGGATATGTGACTTGGGTTATGAGGTTATGATGAAGCCAGGCTCAGAACTTAGGATTTAAATCCGGGTGGTGTCGTTTTTCCTGTTGCATAAAAGGGCAGAAGGAGGAAGTTGGGGGGAGGATAGGGATCGGCAGTGTGCCTCCAGGGAAGACAGCTGTCACTAGTTCTGCAGACTTCCCGGGCAGGAAATCAGACTGCGAGGGGAGAGTTCTAACCTTGTTTTCAAACATAGTGCATTCCAGATAAATGATACCTAGTTTATCAAATGGTGATCCTCACATCCCAGCATTGTGAGCAGCTAGGATTATAGGCATGAGCCATTGGTGCCTGGCCTAGCTTATCTTTTAGGCCACATAGTAGTTCTTTTTAAGAAAACATGAATGTTTTAATCAGCATAAAATTATATTTGGGCATTTTCCTTTCTGTAATCCATTTGAATCGTAGTGCTGCTCTTTCTAGGCTGTCCTTCCTGTTTGAATCTGCACTGCTTGTTGGGGCTGTGCCTTCTGTTACAGTATCAGTCGAGACTGGGAGCGTTCTTCCGGGTGGTGTGATTCAGGAAGGCCTCCCGTGTCCTGGGCTTGCAGGATGAGTGCCCTTCTCAGGGTTGGTGAGCCTTTTTAGTGACTTGATGGTGCTCTGCAGCCTTTGTCGGCACTCCCTGCTCATGCTCATCTGACCAGAAACAAAGACCTCCCTTTATAGATAAATAGCATACAATGATGTTTTGGAGCTCTCTTTTTTGAAAACAAAATTAAAAGGAAGGAGCATTGTGCAGTAGCACTGTGAATACAACTTAGGACATGCTATTTATGTGTTACCGTGTTACCCACAAGTCATGGTGTCTGGAAGAACAGAAAAGCTTCCTGGGAGATAGCAGATAGTGGAGAGTCAACTCTGGCAAGTTCAGCCATAGGGAAATTTAAAGAGCTACCGAAAGGAGTGTGGCTATCTGGGTCCAAGGGCCTTCTAACTCTCCACTGGCCTCCTCCCCGACTGTCTTGGCTGTATTGTCACTTCTATGATTTTCCCCTTTTGAAAGCTTTTCACTTCTTGGACCAAGGACACCACTGGAGTCTCTCTCCTCCCTCACCCATCCTTCTCTCTCTCGGCTTTCTAGTCTTGTGACAGTTTTGTCTTCATTCTTGACCTTTGTCATGTGTTCACTGGTGATGCTGCACATACTTTCCTAAATTTCAGACCTATACCTCCACCTGCTAATGGGAAGTCTTTGATATTCTGCTGATCCCAAGCATAGTATTTTTGTTGCTAAACAGGTTTTCTTTCTTCAGAAAACCTGTTCTCTTACCATCATTTATCTTGGTTACATTGTATTACCCATCTTCTACACTATTTGTCTTTGATTGCTTTCTCCCTTACCAGTTAGACCCAGTCACCAAGACCTGCTAATTTGCTCTTCAGTGTCCTTAGGTTTTGTGTTTTAATGTGTCCATCCTACTTTATGTCTTGTAATCTGTTGCTCAACTGTTTACATTATCTTTGCACCTAGACTTATTGTATTCTGTTTCATCCATTCCTGCTGTGTAAGATGCTGTAGTCCACCTCTCCAAGGCTCTTCTTTCCCCTGCTTCCTCCCAGAACTCTACCTTGCCTATAACGTGAAGTCCTTCCTTTGGTCCTGGCTCCTGCCACTTCTACCTATTCTCATCCCCGAACCATCCATGAGGCGGAGATAGATGTGGACTTATTTTCATGATGATACTTCTTGCTCATTTTCTGCCTAGAATGCCAAAACCCACTGACCTTTCTTAGAAGAGAAACAGGAAAATTTCCTATTTGCCTTTATGGCTTATTTCAAATGAAAGGAGATAGTTTTCAACGAACCCCTTTTCTTCCCCTGTTAAATTAATTATGCCATCTCTAGGTCTTATGGCATTTTGCTATCATACCCCTCAGACCTCTCTATATAGGTGCCTGTGGTTGGGTACACACCAGCTTAGCCTGTGAGCTGCTAAAGTTGAGAATTATCTTGTTTCTTTGTGTATTCTGAGGCCCAGGAGACTCTCCACACATTGTAAACAAAGAATGAACACACATTAGTGTGTGTGTTATTCAGAGAAGCACAGTGAGCAGCTTTCTGACCTAGGGAGTTGCATTCAGAAAATAGGTTTCCATGACACTACTCTCCTCTAGAAGGACCAAAATTGTGGTGCTGGCCTCCCGGAGCCCAGTGAGATGCATTAGCAATTTCATTTTGTCAGCTCTGCTTCAGATTCCCTCTCCCACAGTAGCACAGCAAGTGTCCACATTTACAGACCTCTCACCTTTCCTCCTGCATTCGAGCACAATTGAAGTATCTTCAAAAACATGATTGTCTTAGACTCTCGTTACAGCAGTTACGGCTACTTGTCAATTTATATGTGCTGTAAGCTAAGTATTCCCCAGTTAAAGTTTCCAATTTGGTGAAATATAGAAAAGTAACATTTTAATCCTGTATCTCTCAATTTCTGCACATATGGAGTCTTTCTGTGGTACATTTGTTTGCTAAAAGCTCATTAATCTTTCATAGAGGTACTTTCACAGACAAGAAGTAAAAATACTCTGTAATCAGTCGTAATGAAGCCTCTGTGACAGGGGAGAAGGTCTGTAGGAAGAAAGAGTATTGCACTTAAGCGTCTAGAGGTTTGGGTTTTGGTTGTGTTTGGCTTTCCATATTTTAACCTTTTCATGTTAAATGGGAATGGTAATACTAGTTACAAATGGGCACCGAAATGTAAGAGGTTTAAATTGGGTTTGGATTTACGCCTAGTATCAGTACCGAGAAACTTCCAAGGTAACACTGGAGGGTCTAGCCAGACTTAGGCATCTGTCATGACAGGAACCTAACTGACCTTTAAAGGACAGAATGGGGGCGAAATTGATTCCACGGGAATTTGGTAGACACGAAATGTGAGGTGCATCTGAAATGCTAAGCATCTCTGTTCCTGAAACACTGGCGTGGATGCCACCTCAATGCCAGTTCTTTCTTACAGTTTGAAAAAGAACTTCAGAGAATTTCCGAAGCCTATGAGAGTCTGGTCAAGTCCACCACCAAGCGAGAGTCGCTGGACAAGGCAATGAGAAACAAGCTGGAAGGGGAAATCAGAAGACTGCACGACTTCAACAGAGACCTTAGAGGCATGTCACCTTCTACCTGTATTCTCTCCACCCTGACTACCTGTGTAGTTAACAGCTTGGTCCACAGCCAGATTGCTTTGCTACCATGCTCTTCTTCCTGTATCAGATAATCCTGTAACTGTCATCAGCCCGGAGAAAGTGGAGGTGCTAAAACAGCAGAGCTGTTCTCTTCTGCCTTATTTATTGACATTGCAGCAAGGAGCTTTTGAAGTGGCCGTGGCGGGAGGATATGGACGGAAGAGAGTCTGTGTGCGAATGTGACTCACCATTGTCTGACTAGGAACGTTAGAGACCAGTGTTGGATGCACTTGCCTTTCCAGATGAGGCTGAGTCACCTGGTAGAATTCTTTGGGAACCAGAGTCTCACTTGCTAGAGCTAATGTAGAGGATAAAGCTAGACATATGCTCACCCTTCAGGAAAGATAGAAGACCCATACCTCCTCGAAAGGTAAAAGTCACTGCATCTTTCTGTTAATAACATGAAAATTATTTAATTCGACACTTCTGAAGGACTTAAAAACAATAGTTTTCTGTTTCTCTTTATAACCTCAGTTGTTCATTCTAAGAGGTAAGCACTTTTCTCAGCTTTTCCCTTCTGGTAGGGGCCTTCGTGGTTCTCCGCTTTCAATAGAGTGCATGCGTGAATACATGTGATTGTTGAAGTCTTTTACACCTTATGAGAACCCTAGCGGCCCTGCTCTATTCCTTACAATTCTCCAGAGCAGTGACTTTATTACCAGCAGTGTTTTTCCTCAAGCAGTTATTTGTCATATCTTCATTTATATTACTTTTTCTCTTATATTGTCCCAAAATCATGCTCAGATTTGGGGTCAAGCAACTATCACATCATTTTGATTTTGTGCATGTTACTCATTGCCGAGTAAAACAGAACTTTTGCTTTTTTATTTCTTTTCATGGATTGCTTAATTACATCTCCACATCAATTCTATGTGCTTTACTTCCAGCCTACTTCTTTCCAAGATGCGTGATAATACAACCCATGAATTCTTACCTCTCTCTTTTTTTTTGGGGGGGGGGGGGTCGGTTGTGGGGCTTGAACTCTGGGCCTGGGCACTGTCACTGTATTCTTCAGCTCAAGGCGAGTGCTCTACCACTTGAGCCACAGTGCCACTTCCGGTCTTCTGAGTGGTTTATTGGAGATAAGAGTATCATGGAATTTCTTGCCAGGGCTAGCTTTGAACCGCGATCCTCATATCTCAGCCTCCTGAATAGCTAGGATGACAGGTGTGTGAGCCACCGGCGCCCAGCCTCTCTTTCAGTTAGCAAGCCATTTTCCAGCTGCCTCATACATTCCAGCACTCAATGTATAAGTAGTCCCCACTAGTTAGGACCTAAGCCTTTTTCTGTTGGCTGTCACATATCCAATAAATACTTGCTGAGCTGCATCATTTAATTGAATAAATAAAGATATGCCAAGTGGTTTAAGTGAATGTAGAACTCACTATATAGTCTTCATCCATTAGTCATTCTGACCTGGGAATTAATTTGTTACTTTTATTAATTTTGTTTTCAGGTAGTAGTTACTGTATGAAATCTAGGACTATTGGTCAAAGTTGGAGTAGGGCTTGGTTAGAGGTTATGAAGACTGCGCGTCTATTAAAGGATTTCAAAGTGGAGATTTAGGGTTCAGAAGAAGTGAGGTGGTCTCAGCCTGTCCAGCATTGCTGGTGCACAGGGGCACAGGTGGCATCTCAGGCCTTTCTTTAGATGTTCTTTAGAATTCATTTATTGTTCTTCCCCAAGAATAGTTCACTTTGGGGCTCCTGCCTGAGTATCCCTTCGTACTCAGTGCTTGTAGACTCCTTTATTTAAGACTCCTTGCTTAAACTCACATATAAGTCTTTTAATTATCTTCTCTTTGTTCACAGATCGACTGGAGACGGCCAACAGGCAGCTGTCTAGCAGGGAATACGAGGAGCATGAAGACATGGTTGCAGAGGGGCATTTTGCTTCTCAGAGTGAGTCTCTCTGTTTACCCCCAAGTTAGTGGTGGCTGGGGGAAAGAATCGTAGTAGTTTTCAGCGGGACTGATGGCAATTGCTTTTTGTGTGGTAATTTAGCATACAGTCTGCTGTGTCCTCTGTCCTTCTAATCTACAATTCCTCTCTGTCTCGCTATAATTTGTCCAAGGAGTAGCAACACCAATAGAAATGCTGCTTCCTGACACTCACTATTTTAATGGGTCATAACTTCTTTTCTTCGAGAAAGCAAAAGAGGCCAATGGTGAGGTCTGGACTTGTGTCAGGCTGAGGAAGAACTCTGATTGGCTGGCAGGATGGGGAACTCTGGATTGGCTGGCAGGTTGGGGAAGAACTCTGATTGGCTGGCAGGTTGGAGAAGAACTCTGGATTGGCTGGCAGGTTGAGGAAGAACTCTGGATTGGTTGGCAGGTTGGGGAACTCTGGGTTGGCTGGCAGGTTGGGGAAGAACTCTGATTGGCTGGCAGGTTGGGGAAGAACTCTGGATTGGCTGGCAGGTTGAGGAAGAACTCTGATTGGCTGGAAGGTTGAGGAAGAAGTCTGGATTAGCTGCCTCTTTTGCAGCATGTAATCCACAGTAATCATTGCACTATCGTATTTTTTTATTTTTTGCCAGTCCTTAGACTTGAACTGAGGGCCTGGGCACTGTCCCTGAGCTTCTTTTTGCTCAAGGCTAGTGCTCTATCACTTGAGCCACAGTGCCACTTCTAGCTTTTTTCTACTCATGTGGTACTGAGGAATGGAACCCAGGGCTTCATACATGCTAGGTGAGCACTCTACCACTAAGCCACATTCCCAGCCCCACACTGTCTATCTTGGTGTGTCATTTCTCATTCCCAGAAGCTGCTGAACTCATTTCAGCCAGGAACAGTGAAGAAAAATTCTGCCTACTATTCACAAAAATGTTGATCCAGTTGCTGAGGGGAACAGTGACTGGTATGAAAGTACTACAGAGAACCATGACAACTGGGTTCTCAACCTACAGCATTCCATTTTTTCTTGATGGATTTCTGAGGTCGGTCAGCACTGATGTGGCTTCCAGAGCATGTCATGTTATAGAGCGGCACTTCGATGCATAGGTTCCACACCCTACCTGCTAATGACTGGAAAATAATTGGCAAAGTTTCTGATTGTCAGTACTGTTGGGTGGGTTTAATTTCCTTTGATTCTTTTAGTTTCTTCATGATTCAATTTTAATTTTTAACCCCCACTTGATTAAAAAATCTTGTTGGCGAGTGAACATTAATACTGTTTGGGGTTTTGTTGGGGATGTTTCTCATAGTCTTGCAGATTCATATGAAGCTACTTGCTTTTTTGGCCATCTCATCTCTAGCTGTCACTGACAGTGCTGCTTGCTCTGTGTGCTCTGCGGCCATCCTGCCCCTTGTTAGGGTACATTAGTCACTTAATTCAGGTCAGTCCCTTGCATCTGATGGCCCTGTTTATTCTGGACCAGGCTGGTGCTGATGGAATTCTAGGGTTTAATATTGTATGAGCTCAGGCACATTCCTGAAGACTACCTTCTGGCTCAAAGTTGTAATTTCCATAATTAGGCAACAAGGCCCTTCCCACTTTTTAAGGAATGGTGTGTTCTGTGCAGACATGCTCCACTATATTTCAATGGCATAGACAAGAAAGACCAGAAGCATTTTTCAAGTGTTTAGGGATATCTCAGTATTGTTATGTGATGTAATGGAATCTAGGCAGGGTGTCTCAAGACATGAGGGAAAATTATTTAGAAACAGTTTAAAACTATTCAAATTTCTTTTTTTCTTTTTACTTTGGTCCTTTTTCTTCCACCACCCCCACTTTTTTTCTAAGTAGAATGACACTCGAGAAAATTTTTTTTCATTAAGAAAAGTAATGTTGAATGCTGGTGGCACAGGAGGGCATGAGCCACACTTGAGGCTGAGATCACGATTTGAAGCCAGTCCAGACAGGAAAGGCCCTGAGACCCTTATCTCCAATTTACAAGAAACCTGGAAGTGGTGCTGTGGCTCGAGTGGCAGAGCTCGAGCCTTGAACAGACAGAGTGCAGAGACCCTGCCTAGCCCTGAGTTGAAACCTCACGATGGAGGAAATTAAAAAGGAAGTAATACTGGATATGGTGGTGCACATCTGTCACCCTCCGGAGTCTTCCAAATTCAAAGCCAGCCTGGACTACTTAGTGAGACCCTGTCTCAAACAAACAAAAGAAATAGACACCCCCAAAACAGTAGCATACCTGCAACTACTGGATATTAACTTCATCCATTTTATGTTCCCTTGATTCCTTTCTTCTTTTTAAAGTCACAGTAGTTTATAAATGTATGAAGTCTTAATATGAAATAGAAAAGGGCCTAGACTAAAAGAATCCCTCTATATGGAGTTACTTAAAGACTTTGTTTACAAAAATTTACAATTTGTATAAATTATTTTCCAAATTCTGCACAGTTCTGAGGACTTTATAAATGGGTGTACATTAAGATCTTAGACAACCGTGAGTGGCGTCTGCTTTGGAAAGGAAGCAGCTTTTTTCTGCCCTCCCGAAGGTGTTCGGGCCCTGTCTGCAGGTCTGCTTGCTTGGCTCTCCTGCCCCACCAGACTTGCCAAGGGGGAAGGCAGCGTAGCACCCGCTGGAGGAGGAGGCCTAGACCTTCCTCTTGTTTTGTGTTTGCTTGCCTGTTCCCTGCGCAGGCCTGGCTCTCCACACGTTTTGCTCTTCTACAGCTTCACTGGTTGAGTGTCACCTCCAGCCCATCTGCAGCCTCAGAGATTCCTTCCTCTTACCTTGTTGTGATTGTGCTGGAGGTGGTGTTGGCTCTGACATGTGCAAGATCTGCCAGTGACCAGCCAGGTACTGACGGTGAGCGGCGCAGCCCGGGGAGGCCGCAGCCCTGAGCCGCAGCCTGGGAGCCGCCGCCCCCTGGGAAGCTGTCTTGCCTCCTTTTGCCTCTTTCCTTTAGGCTGACCGCTACCATTCCCAGGACTGTGCAGCTTTAAGATGTTTTATATGCCTGGGCCCCAGCCGGGAGGTGCCTGAGCTGGAGGCGGAGCAGGTGAGGCGCCTGCGCTGGAGGAGGGGCGGAGGGAGTGAGGCGCCTGAGCCCTCTTGGTCAGCATTGACGGGCAGCACCCCTGCACGCCCCCTGCACGGCAGCCAGGTGCCCTCCATCCACAGGGTGTCGGTGTGTGCTCACCCAGTGTGAAAGGGAAAGGACACTCACTGTGGACTCTTGATTTTCCACGCATAAAGAATGGAGCTGGCTTTTCGGGTGTTGAGTTACGGTCTTCATTTACATTAAAATGTGCTTTGCTTAGAATTACTATTTCAAGGTTAAACATCCAGCTTTTATTATAGTTCACATTTTTCCTTTGCAGTACATAGCTAGATAAGTGGATAGAGTAAGTGTAGACTGAGAATGTTTGCATTTCATCCATTTGCATTTCAGGTAGTGTCAGGGAGCTGCCTTTTGCCCTGACAGCGCAGAGCCAGAAAGTCTACTTAAGACCTCAACCTAAAGGTCAGTTGTTTGGGGTAGGCTTCCTAAGATCTATTAGATCTTCCCCTTACATATTCCTTACACCTGTGTTCCCCCTCTATATAGACTCGTCGCATTGGGAAAGGTGACTGTGCAATCATATCCTGTCTTACCCTGTCCTGTGCACATACCAAGGACAGGGCCAGTCTGTCACCTGCACCATTGCAGTCCAGCCTTGCCTTTCCAGCGCGTGGCCCTGTGTCTGCTGCTTAGAGCATTCAACGTTGACTGAAGTGGTGATCGCCACATATTCAACGAAATGGTAATAGGCAATCTGTGAACTCGTTGTGTTCTGTGCCCAATCAGCAATCTTTCTGTTGCAGACCAGGTAGTCAATATTTCAGGCTTTGAGGCAATAACTACTCAACTCTGTTCATGTAGCCCAAAAGCCACTGCAGTTGACTCATAAGTAAGGAGGAGTGGCTATGTAAGAATAAAACATTACTTCCATATCAGGCTGTAGTTGAATGTGGCCACAGTCCTTACTTTTCTTCCTTCAGTTCCAGACAGTAGTAATGGAAGAAGAAGAGGAAGAAAGACCCCAAGCAAAAGAAGTAAAGATTTATGGTAGATGCAAAAGAACTATCAAAGAATTTCCAAGATTTCACTTCATAAGCTGCCTTCATTTATAAACCATGATGTAATTGTCCTTGTCTTTTTTAATCCAGTGTTGGGGAACATGGTTATTATTTTTGGAATGCAGAAACTGAGACAGGTAGCAACACAGCCGAAGGCTTAGCTGCCAGTGAAGAGGGGCCCCAGGCGTGCCGGGGTACTTGATTGTCTGGGCCCCTGAGGCCTGGTCGCCGTCACACACTAGTCTTCAAAACCAGAACTGGCTGAGCTACCATCTCATGAGCACTGTTAGTGACAGTCCCAGAGCTGTTGATCTCATGACTAAGTTTATCCTTCAATTGGCTTGCAAGTTTGCGCCTGATATTTGTCCTCTGGTCCTAGTGCAGGCCAGCCTGGGATAGTCAAAGCTGCCAACACTAACTGAGTAATTACTATGAGCCAAGCACTCTTTTGGATACATTATTTGTATGTACATTGTTTCTTTTAATCCTCCAAACAAACCTTCGAGATACAGGTATCGCTTCAGGTATGCTACAGATGAGGAAACTGAGCCCTGGGAAGGATGAGTGACTTTTTGGGTTATACAAGCTGTTAAATGGAGCAGCTTTGAACCCAGGTCATTGTGATTGCCCTTGGGAGCCACTCCTGGGACCAGGGGCTGAGAAAGGCCAGAATGTGAAAAGTGGCAGTGTTGGGCTTCCAGTTATTTTAGGCCTCGGCACGCTGCACTGTTTTACAAAAGAAGAAATTGCAGCCAAGGGCAGGTTCGCCTGAAGTCCTGCAGGTGCTCCACAGCTAGGACTGAAACTTCCCAATTTTTTTCCTTTCCTTTTTCCAGAAGATTTCTTGGTGTGGGGTTGGGTGACAACATCCCATTTTTACCCTGAGAAGGATTCTGTATAGCACACACACAAAAACCCCCAACATTTTCTATACTAGAAGTTATTATATTTGGTTGCAAATACCTTAGCCAGAATTGTTACTAGTGATACATTCAGACCACCATCCCAATGTGTTCTGCTAGAATTGACATTCTATGCCTTCTTTATTTAACTTTGAACCAGAGCCAATTGTAGTAAAAGACTTGCTGATAATCCAGTGCATCCTCTGCAGATAATTTTTATTTTATAAAAATTGTAGTCTAAAACGTCGTGTTCAGAAAACATCTGTATTCAAACCTTTTGTTCATTGTATGATAAAAAGCAAACAATACAGTGGGAACTGTGGTTTTTTTACTGTAAGTTTTTGGAACTATTTTTAGTTTATGAATTATAGTGAGAGTCTACAGCTGTATCTTGATGGAGCCAGAGAACGTGCAGGGAACAGTGTTTTAAGTCCAGGAAATTTGGTCTTATGCCATTGAAAATAAGCTTGCATCTGCTACTAATTTTCTTCCTTAGAAAGACTGGTTTGTGCCTTGCTTCTCAGCGTTACAAAATGACAATATGAGGGGTTGCAGAAATTAAAATAAAGGAAGGAAGAACAAATGTATAATTGCAGGCAACACATTTCTTTCTCCCTGGTCAGTCTTACCATGGATCACTTCTTTTTCCTCCTTGAGTCTTTGTGCCAGACCCTGGTGCTGGGTCACAGCCGCTGCCGTCTGTGAGGGCTATGTGAGAAACAGAGGGCGGGGGTGCAACCTCAGTGCTGGTTTCAGTCCCCATCCCACCAACAAACGAACAAAGAAACAGAAACATCGAAGGCGTTACTGTGTATAGATATGCATAATATATGTACCTAGATACATATTAGACCTTCAGTTAAATGCAGATGAGTATGTACATTTTGCTATATACATATACACAGTAAATTTGTACGTCTTAAGATTTAGTTGGCCTTCCATTTCTGTGCTTACCACATACATGGTTTTCATCAGTCACTGGTTGAAAATATTTGGAAAACTGTTTTCATCTGTAGTGAACATACGCATATGGTTTTCCTGTCATTCCTTAAACAATACTGTATAACAACTATTCTCATTGTATTGGATATTATAATTAACCCAGAGGTGCTCAAATAAAATAAAATAAAATTAAAAAAAAAAAAAATTAACCCAGAGATGAATTGGGTATATGGTAGAATGTGTTATATGCAGATTCTATGCCAGTTTTATTTAAAATTTTTTAAATTGGGGGGCTGCGAAGATGGCCCAGTGGTAGAGTGCTTGCCGTGCATGCATGAGGCCCTGGGTTCGATTCCATAGCACCACACAAGCAGAAAAAGCCGGAAGTGGCTCTGTGGCTCAAGTGGTAAAGCACTAGCCTTGAGCTGAAGAGCTGAGGGACAGAGCCCAGGCCCAGAGTTCAGGCCCCATGACTGGCAAAAAAAAAAAATTAAGTTGTTATTGTAAAGGTGATGTACAGTTACACAAGTCCGGTAAAGAGTACATTTCTGTTTGGACGGTGTCACGCCTTTCCTCCTCCCGTTTCTCCCTCCGTCCTGCATGCACAGCTATGGCACACTCAGCATCCTGTCCAGCGATGCCAGTATTCCTAAGGGACCCGAGTAGACCAGGTTTTGGTCTTCTCAGGAATCCTGGGGCTGTGCCCCAGGGACGCGGCGGGACAGCTTGCACATGGATGTGGTTCGTCTGTCTCTTCCTCTTCCTGAGTGAGCTGGCACTTCCCATCAGTCTGTTGGTATTCATGTTCTGGAACCTTCCAGTCGTTGCCCTTTACTTCATGGCCATGTTTTTGTTTTTGTGGGTTTTATTTATTTATTTATTTATTTTTGGGTCAGTTGTGGGGCCTGAACTCTGGGCCTGGGCACTGTCCCTCAGCTCTTCAGCTCAAGGCCAGTGCTCTACCACTTGAGCCACAGTACCACTTCTGGTTTTCTAGTGGCTTACTGGAAATAAAAGTCTCACCGCCTTTCCTGCCTGGGCTGGATTTGAACTGTGATGCTCAGATCTCAATCTTCTGAATAGCTAGGATTACAGGCATGAGCCACCAGTGCCCAGGTTTCATGGCCATGTTTTATGGCTACTTTTTTTTTTTCCTTTTGCCCATCCTGGTGCTTGAACTCAGGGCCTGGGTGCTGTCCCTGACCTTCTTTTACTTGAGGCTAGCACTCTACCACTTGAGCAATAGTACCATTCCTGGCTTTTTCTGCTGGCTAATCAGAGACACAAGTCTCCCAGACTTTTAGATGCTTGTTGCTGTTCTACATCTTTTGACTGGCAAGTTGAGACCATTAACATTTAAAGTTAATATTGAAAGGTATTGGATGCTGTAATTCATGCCTATAATCCTAGCCACTCAAGAGGCTGAGATCAGAGGATCACAGTTCAAAGTCAGCCTGCACAGAAAAAGTGTATGAGACTCTTATTTCCAACTAACCAGCAAAAAGCAGGAAGGGGAGCGAGGATCGAGTGGTCCAGGACCAACCCTGAGCAGAAAAAGCTAAGATAGGGTGTCCTGACCCTGAGTGTAAGCACCAAAAAACAAACAACAAAACTAAACACTGAGCCGGGCTCTGGTGGCTCACACCTGTAATCCTAGCTACTCAGGAGGCTGAAATCTGAGGATCGAGGTTCAAAGCCAGACTGGACAAGAAAGCCCTTGAGACTCTTATCTCCAATAAACCACTAGAAAACTGGAAGTGGCGCTGTGGCTCAAGGGGTAGAGCACTCGCCTTGAGCTGAAGAGCTGAGGGACAGCAACCAGGCCCAGAGTTCAAGCCCCGTGACTGACCAAAAAACAAAATAAAAACCCAAAGCACTGGAAGATCTTCCATGTTCACTGTTGTTTTGTGATGCTTGATTCTTTGTTCTTCCTGCAATGACACCCAGCCCATCCCATTCCTCAGTAGTGGCCACCTTGAGTGTGCCCAGCGGAGGTTACGACCCCTCCTCCTGGGCAGCCAGCAGGGAGTGCAGACCTCAGTGATCACAGAGAAGGTTTCAGCAGGCTGTGCCGGCAGGAAGGCTAAGGTGGGACATCTCAGACTGGGTCTCAGTTTAGTTCCCATCTACTCAGTGAAGTGGGACTGCTGTTGACCTGGTGCCAGTGTCACGGTGTGCTTGCTTCATTCCTTGTCTGTCAAGTGGAGTTGATGTGAGGATCCAGTGTCACGGTGTGCTTGCTTCATTCCTTGTCTGTCAGTGGAGTTGATGTGAGGATCCAGTGTCACGGTGTGCTTGCTCTGTTTCCTTGTGTGTCAGTGGAGTTGTTGTGAGGATCCAGTGTCACGGTGTGCTTGCTTCATTCCTTGTCTGTCAGTGGAGTTGTTGTGAGGATCCAGTGTCACGGTGTGCTTGCTTCATTCCTTGTCTGTCAGTGGAGTTGTTGTGAGGATCCAGTGTCACGGTGTGCTTGCTTCGTTCCTTGTCTGTCAGTGGAGTTGATGTGAGGATCCAGTGTCACGGTGTGCTTGCTCTGTTTCCTTGTGTGTCAGTGGAGTTGTGAGGATCCAGTGTCACGGTGTGCTTGCTTCATTCCTTGTGTGTCAGTGGAGTTGATGTGAGGATCCAGTGTCACGGTGTGCTTGCTTTGTTTCCTTGTCTGTCAAGTGGAGTTGTTGTGAGGATCCAGTGTCACGGTGTGCTTGCTTCGTTCCTTGTCTGTCAGTGGAGTTGATGTGAGGATCCAGTGTCACGGTGTGCTTGCTTTGTTTCCTTGTCTGTCAGTGGAGTTGTTGTGAGGATCCAGGGGCTTCTCTTGTAAAGCTTGTGGCTTGGTGTCTGGGATGTGCTAAGTCTCCAGGGACAGATGTTAGTGTTTGTGGAGCATATGTTATGTGCTGAGTCCTTTGGTAGGCATTTCACTGACAGTCATGTTAATCTTCAACAGCAGTCCTGAAAAATATGTTTTGCTAGCTTTATTTGAAGAGTTGCAAGCTCAGAACAATGAAGTCATGTGCAAGGTTCTCTGGTATGGAAGGCGCCAGAATCAATCAGATTGGCTTGGCCTCGGAGCCTGTGCCATTGCTGTGGTTTCGAGAGTAAACAGTGTGTGAGCAGACATCTTCTGTGTCAGTGGGACCAGAGCCATCAGGCTAAACAACGCCATTCCAAATAGCTCTGGGTAATTGATATCCACTGAGTAAACAGCCATTCTGGGCATGAATTCCCTGGTGTGTCAACTTGCCTGTTCTAGGAATTCTCCGCATATGCATCAGAACTCAGCCAAAACTTGAGCATGAAGCTGGCCTTTCCTAAGATCTCTTACAACAACAAAGTAAGGACCATCCTGCGAGAGGGAGACTTAGCTGCTAATAAACGGCGAGCCTTTCTGTGAGCTGGGGGCTCTCCGTTACCAGCTCTCAAAGGCTCCGTGTGCTTTAAACACCACTGCCGTTGGGAAGGGGGATAGCAGGAACCCGGCCCTGTAAACATTTGCTCTTAGGCTCTCCTCCTTGCCAGGGAAGGGAGCCCAGTGGCCAAGTGCTTTCTGACAGAGCAAGCTCTGTCCTTTCTCCCTTCCAGACAAAGAGTTCCTGAAGGAAAAGGAGAGGTTAGAAATGGAGCTGGCGGTGGTACGGACTGCAAGCGAGGACCATCGGAGACACATTGAGATCCTGGACCAGGCCTTGAGCAATGCCCAGGCCAGAGTCATCAAGCTGGAAGAGGAGGTGAGACCGGCCTCAGGGATTGGGGTCTGAAGGGAAAGAGGCTTCCAGGCCCTTTCCTGACACCGCTGTTTGAGCCAGAAGTGCCTTGAGGAGCTGACTTGGGGTGGGTAAAGAAAGTGAGTGAAAAACAAATGTGGATATCTCCAAACCAGGCAGCGTAGAAACACCATCAGCAGCAAGCTCACAGCTTCATACCGAGGGACACTACTGGGCCTGTATAGAAGAGTTCAGTTGCTGGTTCTTTGGGCTCCCTATTACAAGGAAAAAGGCAAAAATCATCTGATAATGGGTCGAGGATTGAAGTCCAGCAGATCTCGCTCTGAGTTCCACAAACGGGCTGGACGGTGCAGTACTCTGACCTTAGCCCGGGGGGGGGGGGGGGGGGGGGTTTGATGATTCCCAAATACTGCACACTTAGTCGTTTCTGGTAACATCAATCTGTTGGCTTAATTTTTATGAAGTGAGCTGCGCTGACTTTCCCTTCAGGCCTAACTGAAGAATAAGCATGTCCCAGGTCCACACTAGGGAGTTGGGCTATGGAAGCTGAGCAAGAGGAGGAGAGATGGGGCCGGGCAGAAGGGGCCCCCTGTGAGGGCCCTGTCACCTCTGTGTCACCCGGCTGGGTTGAGCATCCTTTCCTGTAGGTTCAAAGTATGGAAGAAAAAGGCCAGAGATAATCTGTATGCTTAGCACGCTGAAAAGATGCGTTCCAAAATGATGTTCTTAATCCAATTGTTGTTGAAAAAAGATGCTCCTGGGCTGGGAATGTGGCTTTGTAGAGTGCTTGCCTACCATGCATGAAGCCCTGGGACTTGAACTCGGGGGCTGTCCCTTAGCTTTTTTGGGGGGGTCCAGTCATGGGGCCTGAACTCTGGGCCTGGGCGCTGTCCCTCAGCTCTTCAGCTCAAGGCTAGCCCTCTACCACTTGGGCCACAGCGCCACTTCTGGCTTTTTTCTTTTTTGCTTATGTGGTGCTGAGGAATCGAACCCAGGGCCTCAGGCATGCAAGGCAAGCGCTCTACCACTGAGCCACCTTCCCAGCCCCTCCCTTAGCTTTTTTTATTTGGGTTAGTTCTCTACCACTCAAGCCATAGATAGCTTCTGTTCCAGCTTTTTGAAGGTGATTTGGAGATGAATCTCATACTTTCCCGCCTGGACTGGCTCTGAACCTCAGTCTTCACATCTCAGCTTCCTGAGTAGCTAGGATTACAGGAGTGTGCCACCAGTACCCAGCAGTTTTCTCGTCTCTTAAGTGAAAATAAGAAAAAACTTTTCTTCTCATTGTCAGTGGGAGGCATTCCATGAAATACTCCATATAAAGAACAATGATTCGTGTGGCAGTGCCGACAGAGTTACTGTTACTGACCAGACTCCTCTGGGTGTGCTTCAGCTTATCAGAGGTGAAGGGGGCAGACCCAGGCTCCAGGACCTGGCTGTGGTTTAGGACCATGTCAGTCCACTGAGCAAGGGCGTCCTGGGTGCCTCCTGGACGCCAGCACTGCCCCAGGCACGCACTGCTCAGCAGGACAAAACAGGCAAATCCTGTGCTCGTCTCCTGCTGACGGCACATGGGGAAAATGCTGTGTGCTGGAGGACGGGTCGTTTATGAATGGCACATGCAACATCTGACCTAATGAGACTGCTTAGAGGCGGAGGATCCTGCGTTCACAGACTTTCCCGAGTTCACAGAAAACAAAGCAGGTGGGCCTGCCTCCGCTTTATCCCAGTAATGTCAGGCAGGAGGCTGCTCCTCACCGAGCACAAACTGCAGTCGGTGGCATGTTCCCTCTGCCACCCCTCCACAGCCGTGAGAGCCTGCCCTCAGGTCTGTGCTGTTTTGCTCTTCTCTGTTCAGCTTCGAGAGAAGCAAGCATACGTGGAGAAAGTTGAGAAGCTGCAGCAGGCTCTGACCCAGCTGCAGTCGGCATGTGAGAAGCGAGAGCAGATGGAGCGCAGGCTGCGGACCTGGCTGGAGAGGGAGCTGGATGCCCTGAGAACCCAGCAGGTGAGGGGCCGGGGGCCGTCCCCCGGGAGGCACCCGCGGCCAGGGTCGTACTCTGCGCCGGGCTCGGCGCGATCTGTGTCCTCTCCCCGTGCAGCGTGAGGTTCTGGTGGCTTCCTGTGCATGACCAAGCAGTGCTGTCTGCTCTGAGAAGGTAACTTGCCTCCCGCGGAAAGAAGAGGAGAATGTGCTTCAGATGGCACCATCCTCTTGGTGCAGACGTGATTGCCTGTGACAAGATTCTGCCACGTACAGCCTGCTCTCCCTCCATCCCCCTAGAAAACGTGCTCAGTTCACACTGTAACAACACCGCTTTGTCTCTGTCTTCCCCGAAGAGGAAGTGAGACCAGCTTCCCTGACCCTCCGGCATTATTCTGGAGAGACTTGGGCGTGTCAGGGAACTCTGGGGGTCAGCACCACACCGGTGCTGTGTCAATGGCTGAGGCCAGGGCCCAGCCAGGGCTTTCCACCTGACATTCTAAGATCAGTGAGCGCGCCACTCTTGCAAGGTGTGCTGGACACACTGGAGGGGGTCAGAATGGCAAGGAATCCTGTCTTCACTGGAAGCACAGGTTCCAGAGCTAGACTGAGGGCAGAAAACAGCCATGGGTAAGTGATCTCTGCAATCACAATGTCCTTGTCCTGGTCACAAGGTCCTAAGGACAACTGAGAAAATCTTCAGGAGTTCTCCCCACAGTGGATGAAGAAAGGCCATTCTCACCACTGTCGTTACATCATTGCTGTCAGAGTCATGGGAGCCCTAGAGTGTTCTTGATGTCCTCTTCCAGACTCTTCATTTACCCGACTTCTCTGCTGAGGAGTGGAGTAACAGGTAGAGAGAAAAAGAAGTCCACACAGTAGGAACTAGCAGCAAGGAAACTGAACTAACAGTTCTGTCACTAAAAGTTATCTCCTGTACCAGCAGTGATGTAGGGCCATGTCAGGAACTGGAAGGAAACAAAGAAAAACAAGTACTTCCTTTTTTTTTCTTTAAATAAAGGTGATGGACAGAGGGTTTACAGTTACATAAATCAGGTAGTGAGTACACGAGTCACCCCTTGCTTCACGCTCTCTCCTATTTTTCCCTCCTGCTTATACCCACAGGTGTGTAGTTCAGCTTCAGCATATTATTGAGAGGGTACCGCTGCTCGTTTGTTCACCCTTTCCCTCCATTTCTGTTCTCCCTTTGCTCTCCCAAAGACAGACAATGAACACAAAACCATTCTCAAGAACTCACAATTGTATCTTAAAAAACCAGCCAACACAGACCTTAAGGTCGTTGTCATTTCTTTTGTAGTTGTCTGTGAGGTAGAAGGGAAACAGTGACAGTGTTTTGAGGGAGAAGAGGGAGGCCGGGGAGGTTGAGGCCAGCCGGAGGTCATGTGGCTCATCAGGACATTCCCTGATGTGGGGACAGACAGAGCTGTGGGTTTTACTGCGGTGTCCCCAGAGCATGCCTGGCACACAGCAACTGGACCAGCTCAGTGGGTGTCAGACATTGTCTTGCCTGACCTTCAGTTCGATGTTCTGATCAGCATAGGTCCTTGTAGAGACAGTGTGCTCTCTGTATGCTTGAATGCTGATATTCCAGGTTTATGAAGTAACCCTTGGTGACAGTGAAGAGTTGTTCTGATCTCATGAAAAGTCAAGAGGATGCTGAAAAAGTAAACTGCTTTGGTGGCCACTAGATAGGAAATGACGAGCATAAATAGCAGCGTAAGGAGGCTGTGGCACTTGCTTGGAAAGTGTCTAAAAATAGAGATCTTTTCATCTTGATGGCCTGGTCCATCTGTCCTACCTGAGTCTAGGTCCTGTCCAAATGGGATCGGCAGCTTCCTCACCAGGTCAAGTAAGAACAGGTGCCTTCTGCTGTTTTCATTCAGTGTTGGACACTGGCTAGCTGCCACTTCCTAGAATAACACATATTTGGAGGCTTCGTAGAATAGAAGCACCCGGTACAAAGAGCCTAGGCCGCTATGAGCTTACTCCGACGAGCCGCTCAGCTGTCAGCTGCTGCTCTGGGCGATTCTTGGCTTTGCTAATGCGTTTAAATACTTCTCACACCCTGCAGTGGCTCTGCATTTAACGTGTGTAGCCCCTGGGACTGGGGAAGGAGGGGTACCTGTCTCAGGATGAAGTTGTGCCCCCTCCAAGTGTAAAGGAGCCTGGCCCACATTCAGATAGAGGCCTGCCGAAGCCCGAGACCCTGAGAGGGCTGGTCTCTGCCTCTGGGCTGGAATTGGAACCACCTCAGAACCAGCACTCTGGCTCTAATTGTGAGCAGTCTCGGTAAATCAACTGTATTTCCTTTTACTGACAGAGATGAAAAGAAGGGACAGAGAATGAGTTTTCTATTCCTTAGAGATGATGTACTTTCACATCCTGCTGGCTCCTTTGCTTCTCTTCTCAGGCCTCTCCTGGGGCAGGTCTACATCCCATTGCAGACGAGAGCCTTGCAGCTGGGTGTGGGCATCTTACTCCCATATCTGTGCCTCCATTTTATCTCCTACTCAGAGGAGAAACAGAGCAACTGAATCTGCTCTCAGGATTCTAGAGAAAGTGCTGAGACCAAGAAGCCAAGACTTAATTCATTGTTGTCTCTGGTATAAACCAACAGCAGTCACTTCTTAGGTTAGAACTTTGAGGCTGTGGAGCCAGACTGGAGTTTGAATCCTGACTACTGCAGATTAGCTTAGAGACACTGGTGGTTAATCCAGCTTCTGCAGAATTAGATAATGCCTGGTTTCATAGCTGAGTGAGTAGTATTAGGTGCGACTAGACAGATGAGGAGGTGTGTGTTAGGGTCATGTAGTCGTACACACTGGAGCCCTGCATGGACTCGAGATCCGGAAGCGTATGTCTGCTCTGTGCAGTTAACTGCACACAGGGTTGTTGTGGCCTTACAGACATTTTAAGCATTGGCCGTTGTTTCTGCTTCTCCAGAAACATGGAACTAGCCAGCCCGCCAGCGTTCCAGAATACAGTGCCCCTGCCCTCATGGAACTTGTGCGGGAGAAGGAGGAGCGGATCTTGGCTCTGGAAGCTGACATGACCAGGTGGGAGCAGAAGTACCTGGAGGAGAGCACCATTCGCCACTTCGCCATGAGTGCAGCGGCGTCCGCTGCAGCCGAGCGGTGAGCATTGCGCGCTCAGTCAGTACCCAGACAGCACCAGAGCAGCAGCACCCCAGAGGAAGAGATCTTCTGCAGATCGCTTTTTGTAGGCTGTAGGCTAAGCCAGGCACTGGTCGCTCATGCCTTTAATCCTAGCTACTCAGGAGGCTGAGATATATGAGGATCACAGTTCAAAGCCAGTTTAGGAAAGTCTATGAGACTTGTCTCCAATAAACTACGCAAAAAAATCCAGAAGTGGTGCTGTGGCTCAAGTGGGAAAGTGCTAGCCTTGAGCAAAAGGGGCTTGGGGACAGCACCTAGACCCAGAGTTCAAGGCCAAGACCAGCAAAAAAAGTTGCAGGCTAATTGGGAGAACAACAAAGAAGGGTATAACAAAGCTTGACAAGAAATGTATTCATTACTCCAGGCACCAGTGGTTTACGCCTGTAATCCTAGCTACTCAGGAGGCTGAGATCTGAGGATCAGTTCAAAGCCAGCCTGGGCAAGAAACTCCCTGATACTCTTATCTCCAATAAACTACTCAGAAGATTGGAAGTGGGCTGTGGCTCAAGTGGTAGAGCGCTCGCCTTGAGCTGAAGAGCTGAGGGACAGCACCCAGGCCCCAGAGTTCAGGCCCCACAACTGACAAAAAAGAAAAAGAAAAAAAAAAGAAAAGTACTTATTACCTTACTCATGTAATTGCAACCCCTCTGTATGGCATCTTTACAATAAATTTTTTTTTAAGTTGTAGGCTAGATGAAGAGCGAGGTGATGTAACATTTCTGGAGGATAATTGACAGTATGTACCTTGTTTTTAGTAAGATTCTAGTTCCTGACATCTGTCTAAGGTTTCATTATGAATGTCCCAGGCATTAATCCCACTGTTGCCAAAAATATCAATGCATTTTAAACAGCATCAAGTCTAATGAGACCCATTTAATAACCTGACATCCATTCACACTGTGGAATTCCACGTGATCTTTAAGAATGATGTTACCACAGTACATTCTGTGATTCCTGCACCATGGTGCTATGTCACGTAATCCTCATGGCAACCCTGAGAGCAATACTCCTTATTTATAAGTGAAGAAAACAGTGGTTGGTTCCACACTGTGGTGGACCATGGGCCACCTGAGATCTGATTCACTTTCCTAGGAATCCTTCCCTGATGATGTCAGTACCCACTTTCATTGCTTTACTTTCTCTCTGTAGGCACATAGCCTAATTCTTCCTGTAAATGCTCGCTTAGAGAGTACTGCAATCCACAAAGCTAAGTCACAAAGAAGTGTCTAAATCAGCCATGCGGTTCTCCTTGGTCCTGGGTGGCTGGACCCAGCAGTAGACATTGCTGCCCTCACACAGAGTCTTGGATGCCCCCCCATGGCCGGCCTTTTTGTCTTTGTTTGTCTTTTGCCTAGAGGTCAGGTTGGGCTTTTACTTTGGAGATGCTTGAAATCACCAAAGCTTTAGGATCTGTATATTTGGGGGAACCCTCCAATTTCAAAGGGGCTCCCACAAAGCTGTAATCCTAGCTACTCAGGAGCCCGAGAACTGAAGGTTGCAGTCAAATCCAGCCTGGTTAATTAAAGCTAGAGTCCCTTGGACTTTTCTGCACAGGCTGACTTTGAATTCCAGTTCTTTGGATCTCAGCTTCCTATGTAGCTAGGGTTACATGCGCCATCCATGCAGGAGAAGGGTGAAAGGCAGAAGAAGCTTAAAATTATCACGTACAAGGATGATGAATCTGCAGGTGTCCATCTCTGCGCATTCATAACTTGCCACAGAGCATAATACCCTGTAGAAAGGGCAGAGGAGTTTTATTTTTGAATGTCATTTTGCTTTCTTTGGACACGGTTGTAATTCTGTTAGGTTGAGGAGGAGAACTGACTAGAGTTGGGAAGACAGGAGCTGGTGAGGCGTGTGTGGGGAGCTTTGGGGGCATAGTGCCCTGCGGTTACTCCTCCTGGGCACTGCCACTTCTCTGTCCTGGCGTCTGTGGAGCGGGGCTGGGTTGAGAAGTGGAGGCAGGAGGCCTTTGGGCTCCAGAAGAAGTGAAGAGCAGAATGGCTTCCTCTCCGTTGCGCCTCTGCGCCAATTCCAGCGAGGCTTCTGTGATGTGTGCTCTGTGTTCCAGGGACACCACGATCGTCAACCACTCACGGAACGGCAGCTACGGCGAGAGCTCTCTGGAGGCCCACCTCTGGCAGGAGGAGGAGGAGGCGGCTCAGGCCAGCAGGAGATGTCAGGACATGGAATTCACGTAAGGGACAGCAGCGTGGCGCTGGCCACCGGCCTCCTCCTGGCCACGGCCTCCCGCCTCCTGTTGTCCTCACTGTCCAGCCAGCTCTTCCAGAGATTCTCTGCCCTGCTCTGGTGGGCCATGAACTGGAGAGCTCCAGAAACTCCCATCTGCCTTGCGGGAGGGTGTTCACGACTAAGCCAGTTGCCCCAGTGCTTTTTGTGGGGATAATTGCAGATCAGCGCCAGGGCTGAGATGGAGGCTGTTTCATGACAGAACTTAGATGTCCATGTTCGCTCTGGGTATTCCACAAGCTGGAAAGGAGAAACAGTCATCTCAGTGACCATAGGTTTTAAGCCAGAGTTTATGTTATTTCAGTGAAAAATGTAAGCTAGGTGCTGGTGGCTCACGCCTATAATCCCAGCTACTCAGGAGGCTGAGATCTGAGGATTGTCATTCAAGGCCAGCCCTGAGACTCTTATCTCCACTAAACCACCAGAAAACTGGAAATGGCTCTGTGGCTTAAAGTGGTAGAGCGCTGTCCTTGAGCAGAAGAGCTCAGGGACAGTACCCAAACTCCAAATTCAATCCCCAAGACCGACAAGATAAAGACCTGTTAGCTAATGCCCTCTTCTGATGGGTTTCAGGTTTCCAGCAGACTAACAGCAGTCACTAGCTTTCCCTGCGTGACTTGGGCCTGAGGAGCCCTGGGCACCTGAGTTTCTGAGTGCTGATGGAAAAGTGAGGCTGTGTGGTAGGCCAGTCACTGCCAAGGTCACACCGAGAACGCAAGAGTGTTCACTGCTTTCACGAGGAGAACTTGTCTTCCTCCAGAACCTGCCCATTCTTCCTTTCTTCCCCCTTAGGAAAGACAGGGTGGAAATTTGCCCTGTTTGGGGGCCGAAGAGTTCGTGTGCTATCCCATCCCTCACCAGCCCCCATTCCAGACCTGCTAAGTGTGGTCCCTGAGCCGTGGTCCAGGGCAACCTGAGTTTGGGGCCTGGCCATTCTCACGACCCCCCCCAGGCCTAGAACCTCCCTCAGCGCCGGAGAAGGGCAGGGCTAAGCCTCACCTGAAACAGTTTGGAGGTGGCAGATGTTTGAAGATGTGAACAACACTTGAATTCCATCACCAAATTACTGTTAAAGCCCCTCAGACAGCCTGAGAGGAATGTTAGTTTTCTAACCAAATGGTATTTCATGAGGATTATTTTGTTTTGCTTTGATTTTAGTATTAAAAATCTCCATGCCAAAATCATAGAGAAGGATGCCATGATAAAGGTTCTCCAGCAGCGATCCCGAAAAGATGCTGGGAAGATGGACCCTTCCAGCCTGCGGCCTGCCCGTTCTGTGCCGTCCATCGCAGCCGCCACCGGGACCCACTCGCGCCAGACCTCCCTCACCAGTGGCCAGCTGATCGAGGAGAAGAAGGAGGAGAAGACCTGGAAGGGGAGCGTAGGTGAGTGCACCCTCCCTCGGCCAGGCTCGTGAGAGCAAGGCCACTGAGGAGCCAGAGCGGTGCCCAGAGGCAGAGCCAGAGTGCTCTGCAGATGTCTGCGTCTCCTCCTCAGTCACACTTAGGTTGTGGGAGCGCCGTAAGACATGGCGAAGCCTGTCAGTGCTAAAAGGGATTCCAGCAGAGTCTTCACCTGTCATGTGTGAGCGTGAACACTGGGTTGAACGTGGGCCCTCTCCTCAGTTTTTCCACTTGTCCCAAGATGCCCAGGGCATCTCTGTGCCTACACCCAGGATTTGGCAGGCCCACGGCGGGGAGCTGAGGACCTTGGCCTGAAGGAAAAGCTGCTGTGTTGTCTGCAGCAGTATTCTCCTTGTTGCTATAATTGCTGTCCGGGTATCAAAAATGGGAGAGAGCCTGAGGGCTCTGCGTCCCACCCCCCCCCACCCCCCCACCACCCCCCCCCCCCCCCCCCCCGCCCCAGGTCACCTTATCGAAGGCCTTGAGAGGAGAGGGAGGCACAGGTCTGCCTTCCGGCTGCTCAGCACGCTCAGGAGATGGCTGGCTAGAGGTTGTTCACCTTGTTACCTATTCAGGAGCACCTGTCAGCCTTCCACGTTAACACACAGCCTGAGGAAGTAGAAAGAACGCGGGCTGTGCTCCACAGCAGGTTTATACCACAGCCGGTTCGCCTCCCATTATCGCTCCTTCTCAGCTGTGAGACGTTAGTTTCTTGGAGCTCCCATTTCCTTCTCTGTTGGAGAATAAGAGCATGTTGTGTACTTCAGAATGAGATACATGTGAAGCACTAGGCAAAGACTTTGCTGCTCCACACAGTCCACAGGTACTCGGCATGGGCATCGCCTAGGGGCCTGTTAGGAAGGCAGGATCTCCATCCCCAGAGCGGAGCCCAACCTCCATTTTAACTTTACAGCCAAGTTACATATTTTAAGAACTGTGCCCTGGCATGGGTGCTTTATGAATGGCCGGCTTCTTAACAAGATGAATGAACAAGTTTTTCCTATAGACTTTAGCTCTGGAGTGCTAGCACTTTTCTGAATGTGTGCTGTGTTTGAGCGCTCAGATCCAGCTGTGTGGGAAGCGTTTGAGGAAGGTGAATTCTGCTACACACCATCTCCTTTTTCTGTAGCCAGTATATCTTCTTCCCTAGCCCACCCTTGCCGCAGGACTTCTCTTTAGTCTGGCTGGCTTTCTGCTGTGTGGGAGCCTACCTCTTCACCAGAGAGGTCTGGCTCACAGAATAACACATACAGCTCGGGCTGTGGGAGACCCGTCCCTCCCCTCCCTGTCCAGAAGGCAGGAGGTCAGTGGGAACACACACAGGACCAGAGAAGCATTCTAAGTTTTCTGAAGCGCAGGACTTCTGTCTAGTCATGCTGCATAAGACAGGACCAGAGAAGCATTCTGCGTTTTCTGAGGCACAGGACTTCTGTCCGGTCCTGCTGCACAAGGCAGGCACAGTCTCAGAAAGCTCTGCAGAAATCTCCCACCCCTCGTTCTCTGGCTCTGAGCACCTCTTTTCTGCTTTCTCTCAACCCTGTCGTCCCTTCTCCAATGGCAACAGGCTGAGTACAGCCCTTCCCAGTGGTTGTGTCCCATGGATAATTTTATTCTACAGTTTATTTATGTTTAACCAGTTTGTTTGACAACACCTCTTGACACCCTCCAAAAAAGTAAGTGTATATTTTAGAGACCAAACTGAGTCCTTTCTGCTTTTACTCTCTGTGTTTGTAAGTGCTTGGCTAATAAATCATTGAGTGAATTAAGCACTCCAGAGTCAAGAACGAAATCTACAAGATTAGGATTTTTTTTGGTTGTTTTTAGAGAGAGGGAAGGGAGAAGCAAAGGGAAGGGGCAGAGGGAGGCGGAGGGGGAGGGTGGAATGCAGAACTTGACTGCCAGCGCCGTTCTGCCCTCAGGGTTGCTGCTTGGGAAGGAGCACCAGGAGCACGCCCCTGCCGCCCTGCGGCCCACCTCTCCAGCCCCCGCCTCGGCCGGCAGCAGCGCCCACGCCAAGACAGGCAGCAAGGACAGCAGCACCCAGACCGACAGGGGTGCCCAACCACTGTGGCCCAGCATGTCCTCCCTCCCCGGCCGCGGCAGACTGAGCACAACCCCTTCCCACAGCCCTCTCCTGAAACACCTAGCCGCCAAGGGGACTGCAGAAAAGCCAGGTACGTGGCAGCGTCCCCACCAGACTCTGAGGGACCAGGGCCCCATGTGGCACAGGGGACGGAGTCTGATGGGAGCTGAGCACGCTCCAGTCATGCTCATGCCAACACCCTTAGGCTGTGTGTGTGTAGACGCTTGTAACATACCACGTGTGAAATGAGCACACTCCATGCCTCCACCTTGGTGGTGTGTGCCGTGTAACTCACCCTTCCCCAGAGGAGGTGGTCTGGGGTGTGTCAGGTTCACAGACATTGCCTTCAAGGTTCTGAATGCCAAGGGCTCATGCCTCCTGCTGGAGAGAGAGGCAGACTCGTCACAGCGCCGCGTCAGTGCTGACGAGCAGCGTACAATGCTCAGAAGAAGGTCACTGCGAAGGGCGGCCTTCAGCTCGCCTGAAGTCTCCAGGGGAATCTAGACCTGACCTAGATGACCATAGTTACAAGAACAGCCTCAGAAAGTCTTGAAGAGGCGACGCCATTTGAGGTGTGAGTTGGTAGTTTTGCCCAAGGAGGTCCCGCACGTGTAGACGGTCATCATTGTTTGGAGATGTGCCCGTGTCTAAGCAGGGCAAGGAGTATGTGAAGGGCACAGGCAGCTCTAAGAGGTGGGGGTGAGGCGCGCCGGTACAAAGCGCCTGTACAGAGCCCCAGCTTCATCAACGCCATGGTTCTCGTTGTTGTGCTAGCACTGAGGCTTGAGCTCGGCCTACACTCTTGCTGGACTTACTCCATTCAGGGATGGAACTCTACCACTTGAGCCACACCTCTAGTCCTGCCTTTTCTACTGGTTAATTGGAAGTTAGTCTTTTAGATTTCCCTGCCAGGGCTGGCTCCCACCTGTCATCTTTAGATCACAGCCTCTTGAGTAGCTAGGATTATAGGTTCAAACCACCAGAGTCTGGCCCGATTGCTTTTATTTGCATTTGAGTCCTGTCACTCAGCTTTTCCTTTTCCCTGGTTATCCACGTAAACCCGTGGCCTTCCCTAGGTATATACCGTGATGAAGGACACTTCTAGGTGAAATGAAATCACATTAAAGGGTGCTGATATGTTTCTTCCATTTGACAGAGAACTCTTCTGGTCATGGAAGAGGCCGGATCAGCAGTTTGCTGCATAAGATGGAGTTTCCCGATGGAGAGATGATGGAAGTTCTCATCTAACGGCCACCCATTTTGTACCTGAAATCTGACAAACAAGAAAAGTAGCAGAGAGAGAAAAGAACGATCAAGATGGTTGCAGATAGGAAACCAGGAAAGGCATTGTCAAAGATTCCCGACTATAAGAATACTCTTTATAATGTTACAGAGAACAGGAAGCCTGCATGACTGCAGAGAGAGAGAAGGCTGTGGATTCTGTTACATACAGTGGAAGAGGAGATGTATGTGGGTTTGGAAACAAAGTTCAGAAGAAATAGGAAATGGAGTTTAACGTTGTAGGTGGGATGCTCTGGCTTTAAGCAGATAAACCCGAACCTGGATGTTCCTTGGAATACCACATTCTCCTTGCTTCTTTGCATGTTTAATTTAAGAAGAACCTGCTAGAAATACCTAGAGCTCATCTTGGCGTAATTCAGCGTCCCTGTGCCATTGTGGGATATTTTCTAAGTGAGTGGGGTGGGGGTAAGAAGCCTCCAGGGATGGAGATCATCATCTCATTGCCTGCTTGGTTTTCAGGTGGTTACAAGGCTTCTTAGATTTTCTGGACTAAACAGTATTTTTTAAACAGAATAGCATTATGATCTTGATCTTCTTCCATCCTAACTTCTCTCAGTTTATCTCTGTCTCCACTTTGTTCTTTTTAATTTTACTTTTTATTATGTGCTTTTTTTTTTTTTTTTTGGTCTGCGTATAAGACATGTCCCTTAGGCTTGGAACCTCGAGGACATATCTGAACTGGTCACCCTTTCGTTCCTGATACATCTGATTGTGGCCAGTAGGACAAAGCTGCACGCCGGCTTCCCGGCCACAGCCTCCTCAGTGCCAGGCTGGGCTGCTCCCGGCCTCCTCCTGTGAACTGAGGCGGGTGGGCGAGGAGAAGACTCACTGTGACACCTTGCATCAAGATCATGGCTCTGGCTTTCTTCTTCTATGCGAGCTGTCTTGCAAGGGGTTACTCTTTCTACCGCATTGCATTTTTTTTTTTTTTTTTTGGTTGGTCGTGGGGCCTGAGTTCTGGGCCTGGGCACTATTCCTCAGCTCTTCAGCTCAAGGCTAGCACTCTACCACTTGAGCTACAGCGCCACTTCCAGCTTTTTTCTGCTTATGTGGTGCTGAGGAATTGAACCCAGGGCCTCATGCATGCAATGCAAGCACTCTACCACTGAGCCACCTTCCCAGCCCCGCATTGCATTTTTTTCAAGATAGCACTGCAGGAAATGGATGGTCGTTTGCCAGCAGTTGCTTTGGTGGCCTTCCGAATCTCTTCAGGTTCCCCCGCCCACTTTCCTGCATGAGGGGCTTGGGAGCGGCCTCACACCCCTTCCCTCGAGCCGTCGTCTGCTTGGTGTGGAGGAGCACACAGGCTTCCCTGCTCATTGGCTTTCCTCAGCCATGAATCACTTTGAAAGCGGTCAGACCAGTAGATACACAGCATGCTTAGGGTTTTCCAGGTTATAGATGTGAGACAGAAGTGCCACAGAAATAAGCCAGGACCATAAAGAGTGTGGGTCTCTTGTGCCTTTGCTGTGATGTTTTGCATGCGACTTCAGAGGCCTTGGCTTCTCTTACAAAACTAGGAGATGCTGGTTCAGAGAAGAGAACTGAAATAGGTAATAGGGTACTGAATTTTCTCTCTCAATGTGTTTTTCCAAGATCCTTTTCTTGTGCCTTCTTAGAAGAAAGAAAGGAAGGGCTGGGAAGGTGGCTCAGTGGTAGAGTGCTTGCCTTGCATGCATGAGGCCCTGGGTTCGATTCACCAGCACCACATAAGCAAAAAAAAAAAGAAGAAGAAGAAAGAAAGGAAGCAAACAAAGAAGGAAGGGCAAGTCTGAGGTCTGAGACTTGAACCTCTTAAAATACTGAAGACAACACTAGTTAGGGCACTTTGCGTGGATAGTCTGTTTTAGGACTGGTCTTTGGAGTGTAACCTGAGTGAAGTTATGGTTGCCTCAAAGTGCGGGTGTAGAAGGAAGACAGATGGAGGCCAGAGGAGAGGAGAGGAAGCAATGGCCGTGGCCAGCCTGGGCCCGATGGAGGATCGGGGTTGATCGCCTCAAGCTCTGCGCTGAGGTGCGTTCGGAGCTGTGTGCTGCCTGCTCTCGAGCTCTTAGGGCCTCACATCCAGCAGCAGAGGACTGTGCAAACCTGAGCACTGGGCTTGCTGCAGGCTTGGGGTGGAAGACAGCACAGGCGGCCTCACCCACAGGACACGGGGTTAGTATGGAATGGATGGGGGTGAGGTGGAGGGGCCCTGTCCACTCCCCCATGTGGTTCAACTGATGGCAACAAACTCTTTCCAAGTAATGTTGAGGACAAACTAGAAAGCATCTAAGATGGGAGGCCAAGGCAGTGCTGTCAGCCCCTCTCATGAGTCTCACAGTATTGCCCAGCAGGTATGAGCGGAACTGCGGCCCAGTTTCACCAGAAGCCTGGACACTTTGGCACACACAAGCATCAGGCCCTCTTGCTGGTCCTACTAAATTATCAAGCGTTCTGGTTGTCCGAAGTTCGATGGGGACATGAACATTTTTCAGGGGTTCTAACTACAATAGTGCTGTGGGCTTTTGTCCATCTTTTTTTTTTTTTTTTTTTTTACCTTAACCTAGTAAGATTTCTTCTTGAGAAAAGGCATCTATAGTTTCTTTTTTGGGACACACCTCCTGTTAAGCTAAGGGCTTCAGTCATTTTGTCCTCATAGTTTTTTTAATCTGTAAGAAGTGAGAATACAGTTGCTGAGCATCTGCTCTGAGCTCTGGGAAGTATGCAGCATCTTGCCTCCTTGTGCTCTGGGAAGAGCACTAGAACTAGCTCTGTTTTGTGGAATGTGGTGCGTGGTTCTCCGGGGCCGGGGAGCAGGTACAAGTTTATTCTCCTGACTTGACTGTGCAGATGCAGACGCAGCTCAAAAGGTTAAATCCTTTCTCAGCTCTTCAGAGGCAGGAGAAGCTGGATTTTAAAGCAAAGGCCTAGAAGGGAAGCTGTAACTATGGAGATAACAGCCTCAAGGAAGGCGTGTAATACCATGCGTGCCTGGACTGTGTCCTACATTTGTGATGTGTGTGTGTCACACACACACACGGCTGCCACACTCCAGAGCCCAAGAAATAAGACTAAACACAGCACTTCTAGAATTGCCCATCAATACTAGGCGTGAATGTTTCTCTTTGTGTTCTATTATAAGCACAACCACAGACTATATCAAAAATTATATCCAAAGTCTTCATCATCTTGATTTTCTCAAGGGACATCTGATCATAGAACTTGAGAGTATTGTGTCAGGGTGAAGGACAAAGGCTTTGGCTTTGAGTAAAGGTATGTCAAAACAATTCTGCTTTAACCTCGAGCGGGCTTTCTGGCGAGTTCAGTGTCTGCATGCTGCCAGCATCACACAGAGGTATGAGAAGTGGTTGGATCAGGAGTCTTGACAGTCACTTTACTTCATTGATGATTCTGTAGACAACAAACATGACTGTAGGTCCATAAAACTAAGTTGCTAGGAAAACCACATCATTTGCCAAAAACCTTACAGCATTTGCAGAACATATTCTGAGCATTTTCTTCTCACTATTCTTTCTGCTTCCGAGAAGCTGATGGCCAAAGTGTATAGAGGTCAGCATGCCCACCCCATGCCTGCAGCTCATGGTGGCCTTGCTCCTAAGCTTTGGCTGGGAGGGGAGGAAGTGGTGGAGATTCCCTATTTAAGAACCGAGAATGTAGCCGGGGCGCCGGTGGCTCACGCCTGTAATCCTAGCTACTCAGGAGGCTGAGATCTGAGGTTCACGGTTCAAAGCCAGCCAGTCTCACAGGAAAGTCTGTGAGACTCTTACCTCCAATAAGCCACTAGAAAACCGGAAGTGGCGCTGTGGCTCAAGCGGTAGAGAGCTGGCCTTGAGCTGAAGAGCACAGGAACAGCGTCCAGACCCAGAATTCAAGCCCCATGACTGACAAAAAAAAAAAAGAACCGAGAAGGTTACCCTTTAGAACTCATAGGAATTTGACTCTACAATGCTACAGGGGCAGAGATCTAGATAGTTGCTCCAAATAGATTCTGAGCTTGGAACAGAGAATCTAGTGGTTCTGTTGCCAGTGGAAGAAACTCCAAATGTCCCTCGTGGAGAAGTGGCTGGGTACCTTTATGCCAAGTACTGATGCATGGATAATCTTTCCCTGCTGGCAGCCTTCTGAATCTGAGATTTGCAAGGGAAGATTGAGGTCCTGGGAGGCAAAGAGAGAAAGGAGAGTAAGAGTTGAGAAGATTGTTGAGGCAGAGAGTTCCCATGTAGACTCTAGAAAGCTGTGCTGAGTAGAGATGCTTTCTCTAAAACCCAGATATTTTGCTTTGCATCTGTACTTCAGTAAGCAGTGTGTGTTTCTGAGGTCTCTCAGTGATCCTTAACTTCTAAGCGAAGAAATCTGGTGGCCATTGTGAACTGGGGTCTCCTGAGTAGTGAGGGCTTTAAGAAGCCAGAGAACAGCCAGCCGCCAACAGCTCCACACCTGAGGCAGACATGAAAAAGGCTTCTGTGCTTTATAAATGTTGACTTTATTGTTTTGCTGATTTGTGTTTAAGTGATCTCTATTTCATGTAAGGGTTGTTGAAGTATTTGCCTCTGGTCTGTGGCTCCATGGAAGATGACCAGATAATTAAGAAGTTACCGGAAGTTAGTCAAGCCGGGAGCATGCAGACTTGCCCCCTTCACGAAGCTAATCCATTTCTCTTGGAATTAATGGGCAGCTTTTCCTTTTAAGTAGTGAGCCTGTTTTTCATTTAGTAATTGAATTATCTATCAGGATATGTATGGGTGCGAGGTGTGGCTGTAGGGACTTGAGTAGCATTTCTTACTCTAAGGGCTTCATCTTACCCCTCTTTGGGGTTATTACTACAGTACTGCCCAAGTAATCAAAACATTTGGAAATTCCTCTATTAGAGTGGCCTTCAGGGTCTGCTTCAGTTTCCCTTCACAGGGAAAAATCTTCATCCTGTGAGGATAGATTTAAGCTCTGGAAACAATCCTAAATTGTTGAATGTTTGGATGAATAAATACAGATAGCAGTGAAGGTAAGTCACCATTTTTAAGAAGCCTCTTGGTATGAGTCTGTTATAGTGGAAGAAGAGTACTCATGGGCAACTTCTAGAAGAGTTATCTGGCCTTGTCTCTGGTCTGAATATCCAGTAGGTATTTTGTAAAGCCAGTCGTACTTAAGTGCATGTTGTCATGTTTGCAGTGATTGAAGTACGTCCTGGTCATGAAACTTGGCTTCCTTGCAGGATTAAATACTGCCCTCTGCGTAAGGCAGTGTGTAGCGCAGCATTTTCTTGTATCAGCTCCTGCTGTT